GATTATGTGCCTTGGGGTTGCTCTTCTTGACGAATATCTTTGTGGTGTTCTCTGTATTTCCTGGACTTGAATGTTTGCCTGCCTTGCTAGGTTGGGGAAGTTTTCCTGGATAATATCCTGAAGAGTATTTTCCAGCTTGGTTTCATTCTCTTCGTCGCATTCGGGTACGCCTATCAAATGTAGATTAGGTCTTTTCACATAGTCCCACATTTCTTGGAGACTTTGTTCATTCCTTTTTACCCTTTTTACTCCAGTCTTGCCTTCCCGTTTTATTTCATTGAGTTGATCTTCGACCTCTGATATCCTTTCTTCTGCTTGGTCCATTCGGCTGTTGATACTTATGCATGCTTCATGAAGTTCTCGTGTTGCGTTTTTCAGCTCCATCAATTCACTTATATTCCTTTCTATTTTGTACATTCTTGTTAGCATTTCGTCAAATCTTTTTTCAAGGTTCTTAGTTTCTTGGCATTTGGTTAGAACATGTTCTTTAAGTTCACAGAAGTTTCTTACTACCCACCTTCTGAAGTCTGATTCTGTCATTTCATCACAGTCGTTCTCCCTCCAACCTTGTTCCCTTGCTGGTGAGGAGTTGTAATCCCTTTTAGGAGGAGAGGTGTTCTGGTTTCGGGTGTTTTCATCCTTTTTGCGCTGGTTTCTTCCCATCTTTAAGGATTTATCCACCTGTCGACTTTGTAGTTGCTGGCTTTCAGATTGGGTCTCAAATCTTTCAGATCGACGTTCTGTTTGTTGATGATGAGGTTATTTCTGTTTCTTGGTTTTCCTTCTGACAGTCTGGCCCCCCTGCTGTAGGTCTGCTGAGGTTCATTCCAGGCCCTGCTTGCCTGGGGTTCACCTGCAGCAGCTGCTGAACAGCAAGGGTTGTTACCAGTTTTCTTCTTCTGCTATCTTTGTCACAGAAGGGTACCCGCCTAGTGTCAATCTGATCTCTCTTTTATGAGGTGTCTTTTTGGATATATAGGGGTCAGGGAGCTGCTTGAGGAGACGGTCTTTTCTTTATAGGAGCTCAAATGGTGAGCTGCAAGCTCTGTTGTTGTTCATTCAGAGCTGCTAGGCAGGTACTTTTAGATCTGCTGCAGCAGAACTCATAAACTGCTTTTTGTTCCCAGGTGCTCTGTCCCAGGGATTTAGGGCTTTATTTATGAGTTTCCGTTATGCTGCCGCCTTCTTTTTTTTTTTTTTTTTCCTTCAGACCTGCCCAACCCAGCAAGGAGGCAGCCTAGTCACTGTGGGCCTATAGCAGCTTTGCTGAGCTGCTGTGGGCTCTGCCCCGCTGCCGAGTGAACTTCCCTGCAGTCCTGTTTATATGGGTGTAGTTAGAACTGCTTTGGCGATGGTGGCCCGCCTCCGTTGGGGCGGAGTCTCTGCTGTGGCGGGTTGCCTTGGCAACGGCGGGCTGCCTCGGTAATGGCGGACGCCCCTCCCCCACAGAGCTGGACCGTCCCGGGTTCAGCTGCGCTTGCTGTGAAACTCTCAATCCAGAGTTTCTGGTTGCTGTTCTTTTGTGGGGGTGGGGCCAGCCGAGCCTGATCGCCTGGCTCCCTGCCTCAGAGCCTTTTTTAAGTTGGTGTTCCAGTTGTCTGTTGAAGAGGCGCCGGGGTCTGTTTGTTTTCCCCTGCGGCCACTCACTGCGCTGGCTTAAACAGCGGCACTGAGGTTTGTGGCGCTTTTTTTTCTTTACTTTGCCCTGGAATCTACTGTCCTGGTTCTCTGCTCAGTCCCCTTTTTGAACCAGCGTATGGGCGACTTCCCGTGGCTCCAATCGCCAGGCTAAAGGGCCCCCGGACCAGTGTATTTTGTATGGAGAACCGCGGCTCTGGGGCGCCGACAAAGCAGCAGCGCGGGGCAAAGCAGCGGCGCTGGCCGGCACAGCCGCGCTGGCCGAAACAGCCGCGCTGGCGACCGTGGAGCTCCTCTGCCCGGGAATTTCCTAGCCTGTGGGCAATAAAAACACGGCGTCCACTCACCCTCTGCGCTTTCACTGGGAGCTGCAATCCTGAGCTGTTCCTAAATGGCCATCTTGGATCGAACCCGATAATATCCAGTTCTAAGAGTGGATGTCTACTCCCTGCATTAAGAATATATAAAGTGCACTGTGCATACTACAGCCCCTGGCATAAAGTGATGCTTAATAAACATTAGCTTAATTATCCTGTGACTGTAATGCATTAAGATTTTTTCCATTCCCAGAACACCACTGGCCTCTTTAGGCCTCAGCGTCTTCAGTCAACTAATGCTCCAATAAACATCAACAAGTCATCTTTCTAAACTAATGGCAGCCCCTGTGGGAAGGATGGGGACTAAGGGTGAAGTTGTAATCAAGGTCCTTCACATTTAGGAAAAACCTGCCTATACCACCACCACCTTTGTTCTCCTCAGTACTCCTTATGTACCAGCTACCCTACCTGAATATATTTCAGAGACATTGATCTGTATATTCAACTTTTCTTATGCTACTTCCTTTCTCTTTTCATTAATTTTATGATAAACTTCTCGATTTCAAGTTTAAGTATCACCTTATTCAGCTTTCCCACACAGAAATAATAATTTCCTCTGTTTGTTCATAATCCCCATTTGCAATTAAAGTGCATACAATAATGTCTCTTATTCTGATTACTTGGAGATATTGTCTGGCTGTCATTCATTAGAGTACAGTCCACCTCCTTTCATATTTGCATGTTTGTTATTTACATGTTCGAAGAAGGAGATTACGGAATATGCCAAAAGCTCCTGGTGACATCGCAAAGAACGTTGGAGATTTTATCTTCTACCTCTGTGAATAGGAGGTGAGGTTCTGGAAGTTCTCCCCAGCTATGCCTACTGTAAACTACAGTGGCACTAGCCACACAGTCTTCCGCTTGCTGGGCATCCCTGGCCTAGAGGACCAGCACATGTGGATTTCTGTGCCCTTCTTCATTGCCTATGTCACCGCCCTTCTTGGGAACAGCCTGCTTATCTTCATTATCCTCACAAAGCTCAGCCTCCATGAACCCATGTACCTCTTCCTCTGTATGCTGGCCGGAGCAGACATTGTCCTCTCCACATCCACCATTCCTCAGGCCTTAGCCATCTTCTGGTTCCATGCTGGGGACATCTCCCTGGATTGTTGCATCACTCAGCTCTTCTTTGTCCATTCCACCTTCATCTCTGAGTCAGGGATCTTGCTGGTAATGGCATTTGACCGCTACATTGCCATATGCTACCCACTGAGGTACACCACCATTCTTACAAATGCTCTGATTAAGAAAATTGGTGTGACTGTCTTCCTGAGAAGTTATGGTACAATTTTCCCTATCATATTTCTTTTAAAAAGATTGACTTTCTGCTAGAATAATATTATTCCACACACCTTTTGTGAACACATTGGCCTAGCCAAATATGCTTGTAATGACATTCAAATAAACATTTGGTATGGGTTTTCCAACCTAATGTCAACAGTGGTCTTAGATGTTGTGCTAATTTTTATTTCCTATATGCTGATTCTCCATACTGTCTTCCACATGCCTTCTCCAGATGCTCGCCACAAAGCTCTCAACACATGTGGCTCCCATGTCTGCATCATCATCCTCTTTTATGGGCCTGGCATCTTCACAATCCTTACCCAGAGGTTTGAACGCCACATTCCACCTCATATCCACATCTCGGTGGCTAATGTGTGCATTCTGGCTCCACCTATGCTGAATCCCATTATTTATGGGATCAAGACCAAGCAAATTCAGGAAGAGGTAGTTCATTTTTTGTTTATAAAATAGAAATAAGTTTAGTTTAAGAACTGAGTTTTCAGAATCTCTAGCTATCTGGTAAATGGGTATGGAAGTGGTAGATGGGAGGGGCCAGCTGACACAGTAAGAAACAACTCAGTGAGTACCACGACTGGAGCAAGGTCAACTGGGAAGTTGCAGGGCTTACTCTTCCACTTTTTAAACAACCTAGGAGCAATGCCATGTTTGACTGAACAAAATACCTCCTGCACAGAGCCTGGAAGAGAATGGATTGGTTTTTCAGAAGTCATGTATCCTTAATGACAACATTATCATAATCTTTGGAAATAGAGGAAGTGAGAACAGTGCTCTGGCCTTGGAATTTGTTCAGCTATCCTGTACTGAGTTTCTCAAGCTCTGAGATATGTTGTATTCCTTTACGATCACATACAAACCGCCATTCTTTTTTGTCCTTCATTCTAGCAAAGTGACATTCTTAGAATCAGTGATTCCTAGGTTTTCCATTTATTTCCATTATGTTATAGTTTATATCCTATGAACATGAATGTCTATGATAAAGGATTGCAAATAAATTGTGTGATTCATATTTTGCAGAACAACCCTTGAGGAACCTGATCATTCTTGTGTTGGGAAATGACACATGGTTTCTGAAGGGGTGGTGTGTGCTGGGGAAATGCTGAGGAAAAGAAACTCCTTCATTCTCAATGTCAGGCTGTGTTCTTCAATGATCTCATCCTAGGAGGACATTCAAGATGTTTATTCACATGATTTCTGAGTGCTTTTACAACCATACTTCCTAATACCTTCTAGGCAACCTGAGCGTTAGATATACCAGGCCATTAATTCATCAGTTTCATCAGGTTATGCCAACTCTTCAGGTACTCTGCATTCTCTTGAAATAACCTCCATCAATTTGTGGAAAACTCTTATTCCTCCTTTCATATTTAATTCTCATGTCATCTCCTCTGTGACATTTTCTCCAATCACAATTTGTTTCTCAGTGTATTATAGTTGATATTTCCTTTATGAGAAAAATAGCATATTGCTCATATTTTTAATACTTATTTTTATTAAAAATCTATGTTCCTTCTAGAAAGCATTAGAAATTGTGAAAAAAAATGGACCTCATAAAACTATAATCTTAGAGGTCTCAAGCAATTTTACTGTTAAAATTTGTTATATATATCTATACATCTTTGTTTATAAATTTACATATCTATATATCTGTATCTATATCTGCATCTGAATTTGTATTTATCTCGACCTATATCAATTCCTATATCTATCTGCAAAATCTTATGATAAATATGTAGAATGGTGACTATACTATAGTTGTAGTCCATAACCTAATTTTTTCCCTTTTATAAAACTTTTTTAAATTTTATTTTTAATTGAAAAACAAAATTATATTTATCATGTACAACATATTTTAAAATATGTATACATTGTGGAATGGGTAAATTGAACTAATTAACATGCACTACCTCATTTGTTGTGGTGAGAAAACTTTGAATCTGCTCTCTTACAATTTTCAAGAATGAGATACATCTCTTACCTATAGTCACACTGGGATGTATCTCACTTGATCATGGTGAACAATCTTTTCCATATACTGTTGAAATCAGTTTGCTAGTATTTTATTGAGGATGCCTACATCTATGTTCCTCAGGGATATTGGCCTGTAGTTTTTCTTCTTTTGTTTTTGTGACCTTGTCTGGTTTTGGTGTCTGGGTATAGGTGACTTTGTAGAATTCATTTGCAAGAATTCCCTCATCTTTAATTTTTTGGAATATTTTGTGAAGAACTGGTAGTAAATCTTCTGTAAATATTTGACAAATTAATCTGTGAGGTACTGTGCTTTTTTTCATGGGAGACTTTTTATTACTGATTCAATCTCCTTGCACATTATTGGTCTGTTCAGGTATCTATTAATTCATAATGCAATTTTGGCAGGTTCTATGTTTCCAGGAATTTGTCTATTTCTTCTCTATTTTCCAATTATTTGGTGTGTAATTGCTCATAGTTTTATGGTCCCCTATGATTTCTGCAATATCAGTTGTAATGTCTCCTTTTTCATCTCTATTTTATTTATTTGAGTCTTCTCGTTTTTCTTATCAGGTTGTCAATTTTGTTTATTTTTCAACAAATCAACTCTTCTTTTTATGTATCTCTTCTCTTGTTTATCTTTAAACAATGGAAAGCAGTCTATTTTTATTTCTTCTCTGATTTATTTTCTTCTACTAATTTTGTGTTCACTCTTGTTTTTCTATTTTCTTGAGGTAGGTTGTATACTAGTGTTATTTATTTGTTTTTATTTTAATTTTTGTGGATAAATAATAAATGAATTATTTAGCCACAAAAAAATTAATTTTGTGGATAAATAATAGGTGTGGATAAAAAATAGGTGTATTAAATAATTTTTAATTTTTATAGATTAAAAAATATATTTATGAGGTACATTATATGTTTGATACAGACATGCAATGCATAGTTAATCAAATCATGAAGAACGGGAATCCATCTCCTCAAGCATTTATCTTTTGTGTTACAAACAACTCACTTTTACTATTTTAGTTTGTAAAATCAAGTTATTATCGACTATAATCACCTTTTGGTGCTATCAAAGAGTAGGTTGTATTCATTCTATTTTTTTTGTACCCATTACCCATCCCCACCTCCTCCCCAAACCCCACTAACCTTCCCAGCCTCTGGTAACCATACTTCTACTCTCTATGTCCATGAGCCCAATTGTTTTGATTTTTAGATCCAGCATAAATGAGAACATACAATGTTTGTCTTTCTGTGCATGCTTTATTTCAGTAAACATAGTGGTCTTAAGTTATATTCATATTGTTGCAAATGACAAGATCTCACTCTGTTTATGGCTGAATGTTAGTACTGAATATTAGAATAATAGTAATGCATTATATACACACACACACACACACACACACACACACACACACACACACCAGATTTTCTTTATCCATTCTTCTGTTGATGTACACTTAGGTTGCTTCCAAATCTCAGCTATTGTGAATAGTGCTGCGACAAGCATGGGAATGCAGATATCTCTTCCATATACTGGTTTCCTTTCTTGTGGGTGTATACCCAGCCATGGGATTGCTGGATCCCATGGTAGCTCTATTTTTTGTATTTTGAGGAACCTCCAAACTGTTCTTCATAGTGAGTATACTAGTTTACATTCCCACCAACCATGTACAAGAGACACCAGCATTTGTTATTGCCTGTCTCTTGGATATTTTAACTGGGGTGAGGTGGTATCTCACTGTAGTTTTAATTTGCATTTCTCTGATGAGCAATGCTATTGTTTTCATAGGAGGCACCTTTTCATAAGCCTTTTTGCCATTCGTGTGTCATCTTTTGAGAGGCAGGAGATCCCTTGAACCTGGGAGGCAGAGGTTGTGGTTTGCTAAGATCGGCCATTGCACTCCAACCTGGGCAACAAGAGCAAAACTCCATCTCAAAAAAAAAAAAAAAAAGCAGTCTGTCAAGCCTGTAGTCAATTTCTGGGTAGCTTGCCCCTAACTTAACTATGTCACTCTGTGTAACCAAGTTATGTAATTATTTACATAAAAGAAACTGCATTGAAAAAAAGAGAGAAATCTCTTTTCAAATATTTTGCCTATTTTTTAGTCAGATTATTAGAGTTTTTCCTATAGTGTTGTCTAAGCTCCTTGCATACTCTGGCTATGAATCCCTGTTCAGATAGCCAGTTTGCAAATATCTTCCACTATTCTGTGGATTGTCTCTTCACTTTGTTGAATGTTTATTTTGCTGGGCAGAAGTTTTCTTAACTTGATGTGATCCTAGTTGTCCATTTTGGCCATGGTTGCCTGGCTTGTGGGGTATTGCTCAAAAAATTTTTGCCCAGACCATTGCCTGGGAGAGTTTCCTCAATGTTTTCCTGTAGTACTTTTATAGCTCAAAGTCTTAGAATTAAGTCTTTAGTCCATTTTGATTTGATTTTTGTATGGCAAGAGATACAGTCTAGCTTGGTTTTTTGTTTGTTTGTTTTTTGCATGTGGATATCTAGTTTTCCTAGTACCATTTGTTAATGAGTTAGCAGTAGGTATCTGGATTTGTTTCTGTGTTCTTCATTCTGTTCCATTGGTATATGTCTCTGTTTTCAGCTGTTTGGGTTACTATAGCTCTGTAGTATAATTTGAAGTCAGGTAATGTGATTCTTCCAGTTTTATTTTGCTTAGGATATCTTTGGCTATTCTGGGTCTTTGGTGGTTCCATATAAATTTTAGGATTTTTTTTATTTGTGTGAAGAATGTCACTGATATTTTTGACAGCGATTGCATTGAATCTGTAGGTTGTTTTGGGTAGTATGGACATTTCAACAATATTGACTCTTCCAATCCATGAACATGGAATATCTTTCCTTGTTTTTTTGTTTGTTTGTTTGTTTTGGGTTTTTTTTTTTTTTGGTTTTTTTTTTTTTTTTTGGTGTCTTCTTCAATTTCTTTTATCAGTTATTTGTTTCTTTCCCCCTGCCACTTTCAGAATCTTTTTAAACTTTGACAGTGTGAATATAATTCATATTGGGGTAGTCTTACTTGGATTTAATACAATTTATAGATTATGTGTATTAAATGCATTTTTACTTTAAATATCTTCAACTTATGATTACTTGATTACTTTATTGGAACATAACCTCATCATACATCAAGGAGCATCTATATGATAAAGCAAGTAGAGGAAAAATATAATAAAAGAATCTTGGTGGTTGGCATATAGTTGGTCATTACAAATTTTTTCAAATTTTGTGTGAATTTGGACCTTTTTATAATAAAATAAAATTTATTTATTTACTTGAATAAATCATGGTCACTCTTAAAGAATAGCCAATACAGAATAATGAAAATCAAATGATTGTAAAGGTTACCAATTCTTGATGTTCTTAGATATTCATTGTCAATAAATTTTAATGTATATTGTTATATATTTTTCATGTGTATGAGCATTTGTATGCATGTTTATTGTTTCCCCACTATCTACTGTATCTTCTATCATTACTAACATAATAGTTACTAAATCAAGAAAATAATTTTTTATTTTAAGGAGTGTAAGTTAGCTCAACCATTGTGGAAGACAGTGTGGTGATTCCTCAACGACCTAGAAATAGAAATACCATTTGACCAAGCAATCCCATTACTGGTTATATACCCAAAAAATTATAAATTGTTCTATTATAAAGACATATGCACATGTATATTCATTGCGGCATTGTTTACAATAGCAAAGACCTGGAACCTACCAAAATGTCCATCGTTGATAGACTGGATAAAGAAAATGTGGCACATATACACCATGGAATACTATGCAGCCACAAAAAATGATGAGTTTGTGTCCTTCATAGGGACTTGGATGAATCTGGAAACCTTAATTCTCAGCAAACTGACACAAGAACAGAAAACCAAACACTATATGTTATCACTAATAGGCGGGTGTTGAACAATTAGAACATGTGGACACAGGGAGGGCAGTATCACACACTGTGGTCAGTAGGGGGTGGCTAGGGGAGGGACAGCAGGGGGGGGGGGGGGGGGAGGAATAATAAGGGGAGAAA